GGGCATGGCTTTGGGATGGAGCGGAAGAGGAGAAGTGCAGAGTCGAGGAAGCTGAGGGAGATGTAGGATAAAGTGGCGGCAGTTAGGATGGAGGGAGAACATTGCAGGCCTTGGGTGATGAACTTGGCGTGGAGTTGCTTGAGATGGCAGGGCTGAGAGCTTGATTTCAGAAGAGAGAGGATATGGGAGTGAGGAGAGGTGGAAGAAGAGGACAACGATTTGTGGGTAAGAAAGGGCTGAGCTTTCGAAGACGAAAGGGAGATTAAACGGTTTGGAATCATTCAAGAACCGGACTCTGCGAGTCAGATGGGGTCTCTCTCCTCATTTCATTTCGCCAGTTCCAGTCCTTGGGGTGTAAACTAGAATAAATATTACATTAAGACTTCTCACTTAAATCTCACATAAATTTACGTGTAGAATTCAATGAAATAAAGTCATAGAAAAATATTTTCAGTAACACAGGTTATACAGAAGAATATTCTTCTCGTATTATTTAATTGTTATTATGTGATATTCAAGTGTTATTGATGTGTTAATGTGTTATTATAACACTAGAAATATTCTCAGAACACAATAACATGAATAACATGCAATAACACATAAATAACACGGGTGGGAATATTCTCCTGTGTTACCTGTGTTATCGGGAATATTTTCATGTGACGTGATTTCATTGGACTCCGTACGTAACTCTACTTGCGGAATCCTGATGTAATATTTTTTCGTAAACTAGTGGAGTAGAATTTGTCTTTGAGATTTAAAGTCTGGCTCAAATTTAATTTTATGAGTTTTAAGTCTAATCATAGGCTGCTCATATATTAAAGAGAAAATATTTTTTATGAAAACAGAAAATATGATGAAATAAAATAAAAATAATTAGGGGTCAAATAATAATAATTATTGATATAAGAAAGTTTAATATAGTTTTTAAATATTTTTAATGATTTGTAGTTAAAATACTTAATCTCTTAACCAACGAGTCGAGCTAAGGAGATCAAGCTGGCTCATTAGCTCACCAGCCATTTATTGAGAACATGGAATGATGACCTGACAGTCGAGAAAAGATAGACGGGTGTCGTGGCGTGTCACAATCAGACCCTGCCCTCTTCCTCACGGAAAGTGCTGGCACGACGTGAGCCACTGCAGTAGGATTGGCTAGATGTGCACGACTCACCTTTCTAGGGGGACACAGAGCAGACACCTCGGCAAGCGTGAGATTACCTAAGGTAATTCGGACATGGTGCTTGAAGGAACCAAAGGTGATGACACCCTCAGGAGCACAAAAAACGCTCTGAGAGAACGAACTGAAGCTTCCTCTGCCAGTGGCGATCGTGACAACT